GCTTACCTTTTAGTCTTTTCTTTATGGGGCTCTTTGGCAGCTTTCGGTTCAGTCTTGCTGTAAGGAAACGAGTGAGTATTTTGTCTACCGTGTAGGGGTCTTTCTGACGTGTTCCTCTCTTATTTTAATGCTTTCTCTTATTTTTGTTTTCGTAAGTGTACCCGTAATTTCACGAATCTGAATACGAAAAAAAATCTCACACGGCCAAAAAATTAAGTTTTTTTGTTGTTGTCGTTCGTTCGTTTATACACCCTCCCCCTCCAAAAAAAAAATAATAATAAAAATAAAAACCAGAAGTCTGCCACACAGAAGAAAACCCAAGAGCTCAACAGGAACACGCTGTCCACGCGGAGTCGCCAGGAGCCTCGGTGGTATCCAGCCCGGAGGAGCGCAGCCAAGGCAGGTCCAATCCCAGAAGGAGCTTTTGATTTCCAGTGGAGCCCAAAAAAATATAAAAAATAAACCTCGAGACGGAGAAACCGAGACCCGGAGCCCCCGGCTAAGCGGCCGCGGGAGCGCGCCTCGGGGTCGCGCCCGGCTCGGCCCCGGGGCTCCGGGCTGCGGAGCGGGGCGGCAGCCGAGGGGGGGGCTCAGTCCGCATGGGGGGGGCACGGGCAGAAAGTGCAAATTAAAAAAAAAATAATAATAAAATTAAAAAGAATAACGAGGAGAATTCGGGGAAACAGTTTCGTTGTGTTTTGGGGGAGAGAGGATAAAAAAAATAAAAAAAAATGGATCCCCGCTCCGGAAAAAAATATTAAAAAATTAAAAAAAAATAAAGAAAGAGGCAGAGGGAGGCCGGGAGCCTCACATGGGGCTGCGGGGTCCCACCGAGCCCGGCGGCAGCGCTCTGTCCGTCTGTCCGGGTGTCCGTCTGTCCGTCTCGCAGGAGGAGGGAGGATCCCGCAGCCGATCCCGCAGGAAGCAGCGGGCGCGGGGAGGGGGCTCCGGGGGAGGAGGATCCAGAGGAGCCCCGGCAGCAGCAGCAGGAGGCGGAGGAGGAGGAGGAGGAGGAGGAGGAGGAGGAAGGGCCCGGCAGGGGGAGCAACGAAGGGAGGAGGAGGAGGAGGAGGAGGGAGGGGGGGGGGGGGGCCGCGGGGCGAAGCCTCAACGCTGCCTCCTCCAGCAGAGCCTCGGCTGCAGGGGGAGGCCGGGGCGGCAGCGGGGGGGCTCTGTGTGTGCCCGGCGGGGTCCGGCTGGGGTCCGGCGGTGTCCGCGCGTCCTTCCCCTGTCTCTCTCTGTCTCTCCGCAGGCAGGAGGGGGCCGCGCTCAGCGCCTCCGGGCCGCCGCTGCCCCGCTCCTCCGCGCTGATGCCGCCGCAGCCGCCTCCAGGGACACCACGGGCAGGGACAGAGCCAGGGACAGCGACAGCGACACGGACACGGCGGCCACCGCCGCCGCCACCACCGCCCCCGGGCGCAGCGCAGCCGCCGGTGCTGCCGCCGCGGCCATTTTGTCGCGCACTGCCCCGAGCCCCGCCAGGCAGCGCCACAGCCAGGGGAGGCCCCGGCACCGCCCCGCCCCCAGGCCCCGCCCCCTCCTCCTCCTGCTGCCCCCCCCACGCCCACGTGACCGGGGAGCCCCCGCCACATGCAAATGAGCTCGGCGGCTGCAGCCAATCGGAGCGCAGGGCGCGCGCCTGGACACGCCCACAACGGGGCGCGCGCCAACCCCCCCCCCGCGGGAAAAGGGCGGCGGGGCGGGAACTGCTGGGGGGGGGGGGGCTGTGCACGGGCACCCCCCGTGCAAAGGGGTCTGTGCGCGCACCCCCCCCCCCCCGTGCAAAGGGTGGCCGTGCATCTTTAATTCCAACCCCCCCCGTGCAAATGGTGGCCGTGCATTCGTAATCCCTGCCCCCCCCCCCGTGCAAACAGCACTCTGTGCATGCACCATGCACCTCCCCCCCCCCCCGTGCAAAGCGGTGTTCGTGCACGCACCCCCCCCGCACCCCGCGCAAACGCGCTCTGTGCATTTACACCATCACCACCCCCCCCCGTGCTAAAGGCATTCCTACGCTCCTAGCACCCCCCCCCGTGCAAAGGGGTGTCCGTGCATGCACCCCCTCCCTGTGCAAAGGCGCGTTTGTTTATGCACCCCCCTCCTCCCCGTGCAAACTGGCATCTGTGCATGCACACCGCCTCCCCCCCGCCGTGCAAACGGCATTGATGCATTCCTAAACAACCCCCCCCCGTGCAAACAGGCGTTGGTGCACTCGCGCACACCCGCCGTGCAAGCAGGCACTGATGCATTTCCCCACACCCCCCCCTTGCAAGCTAATGCTGCAAAAAAGCATCAGCTGGAACAGTTCCTTGCTGGGGGGGGGGGGGAAGAGCAGCCAGGGGAGGCCAACAGAGGGGGCGAAGCACGACCCTGCTGCACCCTGGGGTGCTGTGGGTGCCCCCGCTGTGCCAACAGGGGCAGCCCCGATGCATGCACCCCCCCACGGCAGGCTCTGAGCAGCTGCACCTGTGCAGATGAGTAGAGGCGTGCAGCAGCCAAATGCACCCATGCACCCAGTGCCATGTGTGCCCCTGACGCGTGTGCAGCGCTGGCTCAGCCCCTACGCACGGGTCTATAGGGCCCGGCCACCCTACAGCGCTCCCCGGTGCACAGGGCTGCCCCGGTCAGCCCGGCCCCATGCATCAGCCGGGGCTTTGTGCCCGGGGAAGGGCGCGGGGCCTTTCCCAGGGATTGTTTTTCCCCACGGGATCGAGGAGAGAGTCAGGGTCTATTGCCAAAGTGCCGCGGGGAGGAAAGGAATGCGAAAATGAGTCATTTTCGCTGCGAGTTGTTGTGTCTGGGTCCGGCACCAGGTCCTCCCTGGTTCCCTCTCCTCTGCTGCTTCCTTTTCCCCGTTCTGCAGGGAATGATTTTGGGAAGCGCAAGGCAATCTAGAGCCTGACCCTTAATTCGTGCAGCCCATTCATGGCGCTATGAGCAGGCTGGGGGTGAGGGCAGGGCGCTCGCTGCAGCAGGGACGGGGCCGAGGGGAGCAGAGCAGCCCAGGGCATCTCGGCTCGCGCCCACGCCGGGCACCGCAGCCCCCTCGCAGCTGTCCCTTGACCACTGGAGGGAGCCCATCTTGTGCCAGCGCCACCCCAACGCAACCTGGAGCACAAAACCCACAGCCCGTGACGCGGCCTTGGCATCGCAACAAAACGTCTCGGGGAGGCCGCGCCGCGAGCTGCTGCCACGCACGGCGTTGTAGGAATCAGACCTAAAACCCCATTCTGCTTCATCAGCGCAAAGGAAGGGGAAAAAACAAGGAAGAACTATGATTTTTTTCCCCTGTTTTGAATCCAGCACCATTCACAGGAGCGCTGGTGGCAGCGCGCAATGAAGCACGGGCGCCCTCGTGCCCCTTGGCTCGCGCAGCCCCGGCAGCGGGAGGGCTCGGCGCAGCTCCCGGGCATGTTGTGCAATGCAGCTCGGCACCCGCGGGCTCCTTCCCGCAGCTGGCCACCCCGGGCAGCACGGAGGTTGCCACACCGCTGCTTTCGACAGCACTGCTGCTCGCCGAGAGGCAGAGGCCCCGAGCACGCCAAGCCCCGCGCCCTCCCTCCTGCGCGCACGCCAAGCGCGGTGGAAGCGCCTGGCCACGGTCACAGCGTGCCCCAAGGAGGCTGCCCCAGCCCCAAAACCCCTGATGATTATTGCCCAAGGGAATGTTCCTGGTCAAATTTGGCCCGAAATTGTGAATGTGAAAATATTTCTAATTCGAAACACCCTTCCAACGCGCAGTGATTTCCAAGAATGGCCAGCTCCGCGGGGTGATGCCAAGTTGCTGGAGACCCTGAAATGTCAAAACAGAATAAACCTGAAAGTGATTTGTGTACTAATATGTGTTCTTGGCTCTGGCAAAATTACCATAAGAGCATGACGTAACCTGAGCCGCAGACACAGAGCGCCCATTGTTCCTGATACACCGGGTTCTACAACGCGATCTGCAACGGGTAAAAATTCCCTCTAGTAAAGCAACCATTTCTTTCTACCTGAGCTCTTTACCACTAAATACAGGGCTCCATGCTATAAACCCGCAATTCCTTTCCTGCTTTGCTCTCCCTGCAGCGTTTTGCCCCAGTTTTTGCCCTCCAGGCACGCTTGCAGCCCCGGGGCTGTGGTGCCCGTTGCAGACCCAGCGCTCCGGGCGCCCGCTGCCGCCTTCCCCCACCCCGCAGGTAACCTGCTGCTGGCACGCGTGAGTGGGAACAGATGTGGTGTGGTGTGAAGGGAAGCAAGGGGACGTGTGATGCACGTGGCTTGCTGCTAGGGGAGGAGGAATTCCTGCCGCTTGCAGACCTCTGACTTCCTCGGGTCTCGGGGAAAGGGCTGGGATTAAAATGCTCGTAGGGCGCTGGGCACGATGGACGTGAGGGCGAGGAACTAAGCAGGTTTGTCACAGGTTTCCAAGGGAGTTTGGGATGTGCAAGGCACGGTGAGTCCATTTCCCCCTGAAGGATGCAGCACATCCCTCCTGGCCGCCCTCCTAGCACACTGCATCGTGAGGGTGAGCGATTAAATGAGCTTATAGATCCTTCTGCTTACGGAAACACTGATTGTAATAACTTAGACTTCTCTCCCCTCATTTTTACCCAGGAAGAATAGTGGGACCGTGGTGGGACCATGCCCTGGTGTCAGACAACCAGCCCCGGGGCAGCTGGGCCCAGCTGGAAGGGTCCTCTCCGTGGCACGGTGCCTGTGGGGCTCTGCCGAGGGGGCTCGGAAAGCTCTGCACCCCATAAAAAGCTCTGCACCCCACAAAAAAAGCCCCGTGCCCCACGTCTGGCCCAGGCACTCAGCACGAGCACAGCCAGCGCAGCGAGCAGCGGGGCAGGAGCTGGAAGCCCACCTCTCGCCCCGGGGCCGGCCGCACTGCTTCCCCCTTTCCGCACAACAAGCAGCAAATGGCACATCTGGATTCAATTCCCTCCCCAACCTGCGAGGCTCCAACCTGTATTTCCCGTGGGAGAGATGTAGCACGATGCTAAACAGCAGTCTGGTAAGGGGGAAAAACAAGGTATTTTTTATTCTTGCTTTCCAAGCAGAGCTATTGTATAAACAAGAACACGAATGTCCCGAGGCCAAAAAGCAAACAAGAAGCGCATGACTCTCTACCCTTCTTGCCACGGCACACAGCAGCTGTGATAACACGTTCTGCTTATTATCAATAGCTGTTTAACATTAAATACATAATGTGCCCCGACCAGAGGAGGCAGAGCCCAGGACTTGACCCTATAGCTCGCTCCGGAGGAGAGGAAACAACATTTTAGTGGTTGTAACACGTGAACACAGCTCCCTGTGTTGGGTCTGTAGGCTTGAAAACCGTGCAGGGATGTGTGTTTCCCATCCTGCTCCCGATGGTAGGAGTGTTTCCAAGAATGCGTTTCTCTCGCTCTGGTTTCTGCATTCGTGGCCATCGTTTGTAGGCAAAGGGATGAAAAAAATAAGCCAGAGGAATGCGGTACTTTTTCCTAGAAGCCCAGAAGGTTTCCCAGAGCCTCCTGAAGGCTGCCAGGTTTTGTCTTCACCCCACAGGGAGCCCCAAGCAGGCACGGGAAGCACTGGAGCTATTTTCACGATGTGCTCGGTACCCAGCTGGCTTCGGCGCTGCGAGTCTCAGCCTGAGCGAAGCAGAGCGGGGCTGGAGGCAGCCCACGACGAGGTTAAGTCGCTGCGCAGAGCAGCCTGACCTTTTCTGACACGGATAACTCCAACAGCTGCACCAGCACAAAGAACCCGAAGGACAAAAATACTCCTGAAACGAGCGGTGGGGAAGGGAATATCTCCCAGCACCCCGGCAGCTCTCAACGCATTGCAAAATGGCAAACGCTTCCTCCTCTAGCTCATTTCTCAGCAATTGCTGCCCCCCCACCACATCAATGTCCAGAGCAAAACCGAGTTGTTCTAGCCTGAGAACCCGGCTGAACCAAACCAAGATCCCTGGGTGGTTTTGATGAGTCCAGGTGATGGATCCGATGGTGTTTGTCCCGGTGTTCTGGCTCATCATCCTAATCCAACTTCTCCAAAAAAACCCAGCGTTTTCAGCAGACCTTAACACCCGCTTCTGCCTTTCTTTCATTAATCCGGGGACAGCATTTGCTGTGCTCCGTCCTGCTGGTGGCAGAGATCTTCTGAAGGCAGTGATAGCAACGCAATAGACATTTACTGCACACCTGGGGATCTTTGGGTGAAAATGCTCTGTTTTGATGACTGCACTGCACAGACACCAGGGTTTTGGGTAGGACTGTACCCGGGGCAGCTGCTGCCTTCCTGACAGAGCTGATATGATTTATCCCTGAGCTGAGAACCGGGGAGAGGAAGAATTGCTTGGGACAGACACGAGTCGTGCTGCTCAGTGAAGCTCCGCAGGGTGTTCTTAGGCAGCGGGATGGGGTCAAACCTGGGAAGGTCGCGGTGCTGGAAGGTGCAGCCCCAAGTCAGCTCCTCGGAGCCTGTCACCGCTCCTTACCCGAGTCATTCGGATCGCAAAGAATTTATTGACACCCACCCGCCATCCCTAAAGTTTTATGGCAATATAGATCCATTAGAAATCCATTTTACAGAGGTATTAAAATAATGAAGGTGAGAATTAAGAGAGCAGCACGCTCCTTTGAAAACCCACTGATGATAATATACTGCTTTAAGGAAAGTTATCGTGCAGTCCCCTTAAAGAAAGTTATCAATTAGTCACTGCATCCGACATCGGAGAATTGTTCCCTGAAGAGGATTTTAGGAGGAAAGCCATCGACTAAGCGATGAATTTATCACCGGGGTGGCGTGGCTCCATGGACTAAGATGACAGGGAGGGCTCAGAGAGCAGCCCAGGCGCCGGGTGGCTCCCGGTGGGTTTGGGAAGGCTCCTTGCCCCACAGAAACAAAGTGAGGGCAGGCAGGAGGAAGGAGCCCCTGGAAAATGGCTTTTCTTGGTGGAGAAAGGTCCCCTGGTAGTTCAGGGCACCCAGAGACGATGGGAGCCCGGCCCCATCCCAGCAGCTCGCGGGAGGCAGCGCATACAAAAGAGGGCTGTAATACTCCCAAGGTTGGGAATGTTTTTCAAACTTGAGGGAAGCCACAATATTTCTGTGAAATCGGAACAAACTTCCAAAATCCTTTGTTTTGACCCAAATGCACATTTCTCAGTGCAAAACCCCGGGGGCTGCCCTCCTCCGGCACCACGAGGCCACCTCGCTCGGCGCAGCTGGGGAGCTCGGCGCAGCCCTGACAAATTGCTGAGCTCTCCCCAGATAAACAATCACCAACCAAAATATTTGTGTTTACTGTGGGGATTTGTCTGCGCATAATTATGCATTTGTCATTACAAGGACTACAGGAGAGTTTTACACATGTAAATACGTTCGGGTAATTAGACGGGGCGAGTTTGGGTCTGATTCTTCTCTGCAGCCTGATCCCGACACGGAGCGCTGCCGGGTGGCGGAGAGCGGCGAGGGTGCAGCTCTCTCCCTCCCTGTAATGCAGCCCTGGTTATCCACACGTATTCCTTTTAAACATTTCTTGTAGCTTTCTGTTAGAGCCTCGAGGAGCTCCGCGCACAATGCGACGCGACGCAACCTTCACACTGTTCTTTCATGTACCTGCCTTCAAGGAGAGAGGCAGACACAGTCCTCAGATAATACCAGATAAGACGCTATTTTCTTCTGAAACAGCCTAAGTGCAGCAGCTTTTAGTAATCTTCTAGCATCTTTTCCTATGTATGACAGTCTATTAATGTCATTTGCATGAGAAGTACACAATAAATCATTCATGCGCAGTTTAGTGCAGGTTAAGTGTAACAGCCTGGCGGTGATTTTCTGTGAGGAAATCAGAGCGGCTCATCGCCGGGTGTAAATCCGTGCTGTTCCACCAAAGCTCCTGAGCCACACCGCCCCGTAACGTGGCCCACGGGGAAGCTTTGGGCAAAAAAAAAGCCGCAGAGGAAGGCAGGACTTGTGCCACGCTTTGAGGACTTTCCTCCGAGCGCTTCTCTCCTGAAAACCTCTCCAAAGAAAATGGAGCTCAAATTCCGCAGGAATCTGCAGCTGGCATTCAGGGGCTTACACGGCAGCGGATCGAGGGTTTGAGGCAGTCTGGTGTCCAGCCAAGCCCTGATCTCTGTTTCTCTGATCTGCTATCTGCCAAATTTGGCCCGCTGGGCCCCCCTTGCTGAGCAGGGGAGGCAGTGCTGGGCGGTGGGCACGGGATGACCGCGGTGGCAGCGGGGCTTTGTGCCACCCCGCAGGGAGGGCAGCGATGCCTGTGCCCTCCCTCCTCATCCTGGTGAAGGGAAATTCCTCCATGGTGACGTGGTTTTGTCACCAGCTCGGGGAATGGCTGCGTGGGCACCAGAGCCATGGCTCCCGAGGGCTGTCGGGGCTGGTGCTGGAGAAAACCCTCGTCCCTCAGCAGCACCGATAACTCGCTGCCCATCTGCACCGAGCGTTGCAAGAGGTGAAGGTGAGCGCAGCACTGCTGCAAGATGAAGTTTGTTCTCCTTTCCCCTTTATTCCTTTTTTTTTTTTTCCCCTTTTTCTTTCAGTCTGGTCCTTGTTCTCCCTGTGGCAGCCATGGGACAGAGGTCCATTGTTCGGGCTGCTCAGGAAACAACACTGCAGGACTGATCTTATTAGAGCTCAGGCCATGCCCGGGCAGCGGGGGGGCTGCTGTGTGCATCCCCAGGGGCTCGGTGCAGGGCACTTCTCACTGCTCCAGGCATTTGGGATGCTCACCATCAGCTACCCAGGGTCTGCTTTGCAGAAGCACAGCTCCCCTGCTGCCTCAGCACATCGCTGGTGCTCGGGACATCTCGAGTGACTGCCAGGTAGCTCAGGCTGCTCAGCTGCCTGAAAATCTGGACTGCTGCAGCCAGGACCTCAGCTTTACTGCAGGAGTGGCAGTGCTGTGGTGGCATGGAAGCAGCAAAACCAACCTGCTTGCTTTTAACCTGATGTGCAAAGTTCCTACAGACGTTGCATGTAGGATGCAAAAAGACCAGATGAATGTCCCCACTTCTTGTTTGACTGACAGGCAGCACCAGGCTGCTCTGCATCCTGCTGGCCCTGTCCTTGTCACCACTGGTATTTCCCCAGGGGATGGCAGAGGAGCTGTGGGTGCTGGAGTAAGAAAGAGATAGGGGCTTATCTCAGATTTGGAGAAAAGACTTAATTTACCCTACTGGTTACGGAACAATTTAGTCTGAAACTGTCTGCAAGTTCAAAAAAACAAGCCACATTGTTCTTTTAACAAGCCATTGTCACCCATCAGGATGCCCTTCGGTGTTTCAGCCGCTGTCACTTAGCTGTTAAGCGGGGCTTGATTTCCATCAGCATACTGATTCCTCGCACTTGTGCTCTTTTGGGATCTCCCCCTCCTCCCAAATGCCCATCCAGGTCCAATGGAAGCGCTGCCTGCTGTGGGCTCACCTTTAATGCAGCTGCTGGAATCTGCTGGGGTTGCTCAACGCTGGCTGATCTCAGCAGAGACAAATCTTCTAAATGTTGATGTACCGCGAGGTGGTTGCACATTCCCAGGCTATTTATTTGTTACTTATGAAGAAAGTCAATTTGAATGCACTGGCTAAATAAGAACTAATTGTTTTCAAAATTCAGGTTAACGAATGCTGTAAGAAGCCGTCTTAGGGGAAATGAAAGAAAAAAAAATCAACCCGGGCACTAATGATTAGAGCAAAACCCTGATGCTAGGAGGACGTAGTCTCTGTGGAAGCAGGTTACTCATCTTTTCCAGAAGATACATACATGCATTGCAAAATGTTTATTTTGTACTCTCTGAAGTGGTTAATCTACATGCGGAGCAATGAAAAGGTGGCTTATTAGGCTAATTGCTAATAAAAAAAAAAAAAAAGGAAACAGAACTACTGTGAGAAAATATTTAAAAACAGACACAGAAGGCTGTGAAAACAAACACCGCCTCGTTTTTCCATGAGGTTTTCCCACCAGAAATCATGCAGTTCAAAGAGACGTCCGGTTAATACGGTACCTCCAGGCTCCTGGCGCTGGAGCTGTTCATTAGCCGCTTCGTAATTCTGTGATGCAGAACTGGATTAATGGAAAGGTGACGGGGAAGCCACCGAGGTACCTGCTAATGATCCTGCCTCGTCCTTAGAGGAGTCCTCTCTAGCCTTGCCCATGTGCGGCAAAACACACACCATCAGGATACAATGCCACATTATCACAAGAAAACACTTTGGAGAGGGGAAGAAGATGTCATCGCAGAGTGGTACTGGGAACTGGCGAAGCCCAAGATGGAAAAATAATTGCATGCATGTTTTTTAATACAACAGGATTCCCCCAAGCTCATTAAAGCAGATGGAAGTTTTAAAACCTGTATTACTTTAAAAATTAATTTACAGCTGTGGGGCTTGGTGGCCCAGAGAACATTAAAATGATAAATCCAGAAAGGTGATGTGAGCAGAAAGGAGGATTACTTCGGTCACAACATGGCCTCTCAACGTGAGAGAGGGGAGATGTCACAGTTTTGTTCCATACCCTCCGTGGCTTCCTCTGTGCTGTTGTTTCTGGGCTTAACCCAGATTTTAAACCACTGTAACAAAGTATTAAAATTTCCTCCTGAATGACTTGTGATCCCCAAACTGTTCTGAAGCCTCTCTGATTTATCTGAGACCGGATTATGGGACAAGGCTTGTGGTGGTGATGGGACCAAACGTCTGCTGGGCAGCAGCAAAGCCGGACCTAGCGCAGGTTCACGCGTGGTGGGTGGATGCTGACCAGAGCAAGCCAAGCCCCTGGGGATGCACCGTCTCCTCCCATCCTATATCTGCAGGATGCCAGCACCAAGGAGCCGGGGCACTTGAGGTATTGCAGAACAAAGGCTGAAGGTTGCATTCAGCACACACCAGCCCCTGCTTGCTTGGGAGAAAGGAGTCCTTTGTTTGGGAACAGCAGATACGCCCACAAAAACATGCCGGTGCTGTTTGCTCGTGCAAAAACTCACGTTACACACAAAGGTGGTTTTGCACAAAGCTGTAGCCCCTCATGCTGGTGGCACCCCAACACACAGGCAGTGCCTGGGGTGCCGCACATCCCCACGCCCGCATCCACTGCTGCGGGTGGTAGTGGGGACACCGAGCTCCAAGAGGGGAGAGGAACAGCCCCTGCCTTGCACAGCCCCTCCTGCCCACACATTTATAGTAGCATGCCTCTGGTTTCCTCTTCGTACCCAACAAATTGACTTTACCAGTAAATTAACTTTATCCTTTTGCTGGCCAGCCTGACAAACGAGAGCAAGGCGGATTTTTCCGCTGGCCCATTAGCGGAGCCCCAGCGCCTCGCAGTGACTCACAGGGCTCCCGGCTGCCTATTGAAGGGGTCGGGGCCGAACAAAGCCCCCATTCACTGCCCAGCTCTGCTGGCTTTCCTTTGAGCCCATGCTGCTTTATTTTTATTCTTTCCCAAACATTGTTGGCTAATTTCATTGACAAAATTCATAACTTGGGGTTGGAGAGCCCGCTCCTATTCAGCTACGGGCGCTGGGGGTTTTGTTTTTCTTTTCCACGGTCTCCGTCCTGCCTCGTTCCCCACTTCCCCCGAACCCACTGTCCAGGCAGCGCTGCGGGGGGATGGAGCCCTGCACACAACATTTGGGTGGTTTTCAGCTTTCGGATGGGGAAGGAAAAGCAACCTGACAAAATCCGAACCCAAACCACGAGGGTGATGCAGGGGGCAATGAAACAGGACTGGAATTGTGCACCACAACTGAGTGACCCCTCAAAGCACACAGCAAAAGGCTAAAAACAAAAGCCTATTTAGCTTTTATATCTGCAACGCTCTGCATCCCTTTCAGTTAATTACAGCTATTTAAAAACATCTGCATTTCATAAAGAACTTTCTTTCTTTCTTTCTTTCTTTCTTTCTTTCTTTCCCCTACGGCTGCCCCTCCTGAGACATCTCTCTGCAGGCTGCTGGGTTACACAGTAATTACAGTCCCCAAGTACCTGACATCACCACCAAGTGCACCACATGATGGTTTCAGCAGCAAGAGAAACAATATTACTCAGGATAGGTCTGAGCCAACGTCCCAGCTCCAAACACCGTCATTTTCTTTGGCAAACTTCAGAGCTGGAGCCGAGCCGGGGCCTCTGTGCAAACATTAGGGACGCAGAACCGAGGAGCCATTTTGGCACCCCTGAAGAACCTGCAACAGGCTTCTGTAATTTATACACGTGGACAATAGATGCACATCGTTCTGATTCTGGCTGCCAAAGCACTGCTCCCAGCAAGGCTTTGTGGTGTTTCATGCAGCAATTCCCCTTCCTCCTCCTCCTCCTCCCCAGGGCCAAGGCCAGGTCCCTGCCCCGCCAGCTCCCACCTGAGGGAGCGTGGCCCCGCTGCGGCCTAGCCCAGGCCTCCCTTCTTGTTCACTCATCGGCCTTTTTGCATGCCAAGAGGCCACAGTGTGAGGGCAAATGTGGCTTTTGGTCCGTGGAGCAAGAGGTTTACTCCTTGAGTGTGTTTGCCAAAGCCGTGTCCCTGTGGGGGGAGGCTGGGAGCAGGCCAGGGGCCGTGGCTGCCTCACAGCTGAGCTGGGCTCGCCCCGGGCGCAGACATCCCCGGCACCTTCACATCTGAACAACAAGCAGGGGAAGAAAACCACACGATTTCCTCTGCAGACAGCTGTACCCAACACATTCACAGCAAGAGCAAGCCTTTTAAAAACAAAGCAAAACAGAGTCCTCCCCCGAGCAAACATTTTATCCTGTCCTGGCTTAATTGGGGAATAAGCTTAACTCACTTTCAGGACAAAGTGCAAAGGAAAGGATAAAAGCAAGTCAAGCCAAGCGCTGTACCCTGCTGTGATCACGAGCAGGGGCTGTGTCTGTGTCTCCTGAGGAGCCGGCAGTGCTGGTTTGCAGGCTCAAAGCCAGCATGGAGGAGGCAGGATCCGGCCACTTCACATGCAGCTGCTGTGTCCTGGGTGCCTGCCGCCGTGGGGAAAGCTCCGTGATGAGCTCCGATGCTCATCAAACACAATGAACGTCCTCGGCTGCCCCCATGGCACTGAGGGGGGCAGAGTACCTGTCACGTTCCCCAGGGAGGTCCTTACATGGGCCAGCCCTCGCTTTGCAGCTCACCCAGAACCCCCCAAGCCTTCCAAAGGCAAGCTGCAATTCCCTAAGTGCGAGGGCCTCCTTCAGAAATGATGAGAGGTGTGTGCTTGCTTATCTCCAAAGAACAGTTTACCCCCCAAAAAATACTTTTGAGACTTGCTTCTGCTTTCCTCGCTTTCTTTTCCACAAACCACTCTGCTGCCCCTGCCCTGAACAGCGCTCTCCTCCTGGGGTCCTGGGTCACTTCTTGTTTTCAGGGCCTATATCACATCGAGGACAGCTAATGATCCCCTGGATACTTCTCCTCGATGACTTTTTCCTGCAAGGACGGCTGGGGTCCTGCAGGGAGGAGATGCAGAGCCTCATGGATGGGACAAACGGCCCCCAGCATCTCCGTGCTGCTCTGTGGCCCATGCCTTAGGGATGCTGCCCCTTCCACCAGCAGCACTGCAGATTACACTTAAATTAAGTCTCTCTGCTAATTTTTTTTTCCCTGCCCGTGGACTCTCCCATCCCTAATCCTTTAATCCTGGTTTGGTTTCAGGACCCCAAGGCAGCCGCGGTGGCACGGGGACAGGGACGCACGTCTGAAGGGCAGATCTATCCTTCAGCTGAAGGGAGAAGGATTTGGCTTTCTACATGCAGAGAAGATAATAAATAAATAAATAAAAAGCTTGTTATATACCGGAATACCTTCCTCCCTCACCAAAGGTCAAACTTAGATCCAATTTCAGTCAGGAGGGAGACGTCTGTCAGACAAGCACTAATCACTATTTAGTATTCATATTCACCTATTAGAAGCTCCATGCTGTAAACATGTCTATGAATTAACAAGGCATCTGGCCTCTCTTATACAATATGAGCAGCTTGGATCATGAAGTGTCTGCAGAAAATAAAAAGTGCCTTCCATCTGTCTCTCCCAAATATCACTGCTATCACCAAAGCAAACAGACCCGCTCTTCCAAGGCACGGCGCGGCCGCCTCCCCCAGCACGTGTTACTCAAACACAAACAAGCGTTCCTCCAGCGCGGCTGACAGATCTGAAGCTGCTCTGAGGAACACAGCTCAAATTAAGAACAGGAAGAAAATAAAGAGCTGAAAAATAACTGGGGGAAAAAAAAAAGGCTTCCTAATGATGAAGCTTCTTCTCAGCGGGCTGGTGGATCACCCATGGTGCTGGCACCCTTGGGAGCTCGGCGCTGCCTGGGTGAAGATGTGTGGGGCAGGACCAGCACCAGGACCTGTGCTGGACGCAAAGCCAGTCCTGGGAATGGGATCGGCCACCTCTCATCACCCTTCACTGGGCTAGATGGGGGCTTGGACAGGAAACAATCCCTTGGCTCCTTGCTTGAAGGTGATTTGGGGTGCTCTGGATGGGACCTTCTGGCAATGAGCGTTTGCACCTTTGGGGTACACAGCGGGGAAGGTTGCTGTGGGATCATGGTGTGTGATGGCCCTTGGAAAGGCCAGAGACTCACCTCAGCCCTACACCACAAAAAGGCTGAACCCACCAAGCCCTGAGCCA